CGACGACTTTAACATTTTTACATGTGCACTCGTCCTGTCATTTTCGACTGTCTCGCCGCTACTTTGATTTCATAACTAGCCAGCACAGCTGTATTTTACAAAAGCGATTGAGGACTACGTAATTTTCCATCAAAAAAAACAAAAAAGAAAAACTTGCCCTGACTCATCTCTGAAAGCAGTTAAGGGGGGAACCAGCGGGTCACGATTCGAAACCGATGACTGTTGTAGGCCTTCTGCACTGATTGGACGATAAATTGTTGGGCCTGAAAATTTTTCCCTTAAGATTTTTTACCTAAATTAACAGCGGGGCATCACAGTGAAGCACTGGGGCTTACCTGTTTCCCGACTTTTACGCAGAATCGCGGGACGTATACGTGAAGCAGAACGCGTGAGATCTTCCTCCTGTTGCTCGGCTGCTAAAGAGACATAGGTGGCAGCAGGCATGACACTTACTGGTGCAACCGATGAGGTAGCAGCAATACTACTGACAGACGGTAGCTGCACAAGCACTTGTTTCGTTTCACCTCCACCATTGTGAACACGTTCCAGTGATCTGGAACCACGGACCAAATCCTGAAAAACCAAAAGTTACAAAAAAACGAACAGAAGGGAAAATACACAAAAAAAATTCAATTTATCCATTTTCAGAATAACAGAAAAAAAATGCAAAACTGCCGTGCTTCCGTGTTTTGGCAATAATATGTAATATTCAAGACAAAAAAAGCTGTATGCAGAAACAACGCAATTTTCGAACCTGCATGCGCGTTTTTTCCTCCTGTTTTTGCATGCAGTAAGAGAAAATTTTGAGAAAAAACAAATTTTAGCCAACGGAAAAACAAGCTGAGAAACAGCAGACTTCCGAATGATCCAAGCTAAATAAAGATGGCATACCAAATTATGACGGTCTATGGCCCATTTCCCCAGATATGGTGAGGGTTTTATACAGTACTGTAACGTCCTCTCCAAACCCATTTGTCCAGTTTTGGAGCAAAAACATCCCGAGATTGAATTTATTAAAATAAAACAAAATAACTAACTGATTTTATGAATATCAAACATAAAATTGATTTTATGAGTTTTCGCTGCCTCTTATGAATGGTTTTTATCCTCATATATGCTAAAGTTTGCGACCTTCAGCAAAGCTTTGCGTAGTTCTGGCCAAACTCTAAATTTTCTGGCTAAATTCCGTGTTATTCTACCAAATTTTTTGCAAATTTTTTTTTCAGCCGCATAATTTGACACTCATTTATTGCCATTCACTTTTTTTTTCTTTAAAATAAGCAAGACTTTAACAAATTCTCAAAAAACCAAGACTTTGTAACAGTCCATGAGGTAATCGAAAAATCACGGGGAGAATCGTTTTATTTTCGCATTTCTTGAAATGGTAAAATATAACAACGCAAACCTTTGCAATAGTTAATCCACCATTTTGTGAGGTTACTGTTACCAATGGCGACATCTGCAACAAAAATGCATTGCGTAATAAAGAGAAAAGGAGGGAGAGGGAGGGGTGGGAAATGCCGACAACACACGTGACTAACAATGTTGAACAATGAAACGAGAGCATACCGATGTGCAAGCAGCGTTTACTCGAACAGAGCCACGTACAGTTCCTGTTCTTGTATCACCGATAATGCTGCTTCCAGATGGCACCAAATAACGACTGAAACAAAATATCAATTACAGCTTCATACTAAATATTTGTTCGGTTTCACCAAAAATATTCGAAATACATGTTCGATGTGAATAATTTTTCAAATAAAAATCACCTCTGCCTCCCCCTCCCTCACATACACCTCAACAAAAAATATCTAGGAAAAAAAAACCGAGAAAACGGGCCTGCTCAATTGTTTAAAAAAAAAACAGCGTGATTTTTGCGGTACGGGGCTTATTTGGGAGAGGATACACGAAGAAATAACTGAGAATTTGTCGTCAGACCGCTGCTGGTACCAATTTCACGTCGAGAAAGAAATCTGAAAACCTAAGACTATCACTACTAGCACAACACAAAGTAAATGGAATAAAAAAGGGCCTGAGTATCCCGGTCAAAATCAGGCGTTTCAAAAGCAGGGCTGACGAGAAGTTCGAAGTTGTGAAGTGGTATTTTGTGGCCATAAGTAAGCCAACCGAGAAAAGTCCAGTATCAGTGAGAAGCAGATATGAGTAAATAAATTACTGCTTGGAAATTCATCGAAAATGTGACGCTCTGTATGTCGTTAGAGCGGAAAGTACTAACTGGAGGTATGCAGCTTTGAAGTGAACGGATCGCTTGGCATGCCCGAATTTTGTTTTTGTTCGAGAATGCTACATATATATAACCGAGAAAAATGTTCATTACCGTGTTGTCTCAATGTTTGCACCATTGATAAAGGCAGCGGGAGTGGCAGCAGCAGAAGTTTGAATGATGCGCTGCTGATGCTCGGCACAATCACGTATAACACGCTGTGCTGGCAGTGAGATAATGGCCGGATGTGGTTGATGTACACCCAATACTACTCCTCCTGCTGCTCCATGCTGCTGCTGCTGCTGCTGCTGTTGCTCGGCGTATTCACGTATCACACGTTCTGCTGGTAATGCAATCACGGTCGGCTGCTGCTGCTGCTGTTGCTGCTGAATGCCTGTTGCTGCTGCTGCTGCTGCTCCCGCTGCAAGTTGTTGTCCAGAATATTCACGTATTACACGTTCTGCTGGCAACGAAATGACGGCTGGCTGTTGCTGCTGCTGCTGAACATGCACTGTTGCTGTGGGTGTTGCGCTGGAGTTTGCACCGTTTAACCGTGCAAAATCGCCTAAAAAAACATTTAACACTGGCCATTTATAGAAAGATATATTAACAATGGTTGAAAATAGAAAACAAAAAGGAAAATGGGAAATGAAAATTACGAAATTGGTGAAATTATTATAATGATATTCATTAAGTTGCATACATTTCTTACCATTACCACAACTGAACTAAAGATAACAGTGACGTATTTGTTGCCACTGATCGCATGAGATGACAATGATAGGAGGATGAAAAAAAAAAATATCTCAAATTTTTTCCACTCAAAAACTTTCCATTCATCCTCACGCTAATAGAAAAGTTGTTTTCTTTGCACAAACTTGTGAATGGCCGATAATTTGAGAATGATCGAGAGAAAAACTGGAGAAGTGAGGACAAAACAACAATGAAATTAATGAGATCACTAACAAGGATTTATGACTGCAGCATTTGTGGCTGGACGAAAAGTGACCACTCTAGAATGGCCAAGAGCACCAACCACACTCTGCTGTGATGCAGCAGCAGCAACAGCACCACCACCACCACCACTACCATGCTGCGTATGAACCACATTATGCGCTGCTACATTTGCCGCCACGGTCTCTCCGCTGCCATATCCCAGCTGAACCTGACCGGTCGTAGCAGGTAACTGATTTCGAAGACATGCCTGAAAGAAAGATACAACGTCCTAGCTTTTATTGCTGGCTAACTGGGAGTATGGGAAAGGGCTGAAATATTTATTGCTTTCACAGTGTTCCCATAGCGGGGAAGTGAAGAGGAGCTCAGATGTTAGGTAAACTATTATTTCGGGAACTGCGGAATCTAGAAAGCTGAAATTTTAGGGTAATGAAACCCCTCCCAGGTGCGACCTGGCAAATTTAAATTTAGCACCTGGCACTCCGTGAAACTTTTGGCGGGTAAATTATTATCTGGGGAACCACGGAATCTAGGAAGCTGAAATTTTGGGGGCCTGTCCCCTGTCCACGTGCAACCTGTCAAATTTAAATTCAAAGCAGTGAAAATCATTAGCAGGCAATCGTTCGGGGGGTGGACGGAATTGCACAAAAACGCACGGTCGAACCGGCTGCCCTGATGTGCGCTGCTATTTATTTTTCATAAATCAACATACCTTGATATATTGGCGTGTCATCATGCCAGCTTGTGTTGCGGATACAATCGGTGTTACCGAAGTGAACTGCGTTATTGTGGATGTGACGAGTGGCTGCTGCTGCTGTTGTTGTTGTCGTTGAGTATCACACTGAAAATTTTCAAAAATTGCAAAATTTTTATTCGTTATAAAATTTCGTTATATTTCGTTAAATCTCGTTAAAATTTCGTTATAAAAAAAGCGGAAAAGACACAATACAGGGAGATATCAAATTAATTTACCCGCTCAGCAGTATTATCATTGGTTGTTGACATCGTTTCACTGTCTTTCAAGTCGGAATCTAAAAGAAAGAGGCAAATTTACAACGTAAATGAAGTAGCAAACAAAAACAATGCAGCACCTGATTTTTGCATTAACAAGTCGATTACTACATGACCGAATGCCTCTCAGCATAGATTCTAGTGCCCAGATGCCGCTCTGGAAGCAGGATCTGGGTGTAGGATAGAGAAGAGGAATAAGGGTACCATTCAGGAGTTCGAGGCAAGAACTGGAGGCAGCAGTAAACACGGAGGGAAAACACAGCAGTACAAAGAAAACTACACAACTGAGTAACTTTTAGTACATCGTCAGGTCGCAGAAGAAGCTCCAAACGGGATGCAACATCTTTAGCATTCTGCTGTAGGGTAATATGGAATAATAAAGCAATAAAAGGAACACTAGTAATACCACCAGAACTGGTAGCATGCTATGCAGCAGGACCGGTCACAGCAACAACAACAACAACAACAACAACCATGAATTGTAGCAATCAAGTTGACCTTGAAAGGCTAAATGGTGAAAGCGCGATAGATTACTATGCGAGAGAAGGAGATAAGACGCTTCGGTCCATTAACAGTCATATACACCTTAAAACTCAACACCGCGCAACAGGACCTCGTCAGTATTGCGTATTACGTCACAACCGGAAAAAGTGGGATGCAGTGAGATCTCTTTACAAAGTAATCAGATAGAAGTTAAAAATCCCTACATAATGAACTTGTAGTGAGAGGTGAAAGTACTCAGAACTAGTACGATTTGGCATTATAAGCCTCCCTCCCCCCCCCCCCCCCCCCCCCCCCCCCCCCCCCCCCCCCCCCCCCCCCCCCCCCCACCCCCC